CCTCAGGAAAATGAAAATATATAACATCTATGTGGACCCCAAAATGCCTCCCCATTTAGTCACTGTATTAAAATGTACTAGCTCTGAGTTTTCCACTCACACCTGACTTAGCATCAATTTAAAAAGTGATCAGTTTGGCATGTGACTCCTTTCTTTGGTTTTAATTTTAAAAGACTAGTGTCTGTAATATATAAGTCCTAAGTATAATAACAATCAGATAAATAAACTGAGAAACAAAACACTGAAAAATAAACTGAAAAACAACACTGAGTATATTGCTTTTGGCTAAACAGTTAAGATTTTGTAGATGTAACAAGTGCTCATTAGAGAATTATGTTCCATATTAGCTCAAGGAAAGCAGTTGAGGACTCTTTTTCACTTCAGAAACATGGTGGTGGGGGCTGGGAGGAAGAGCGACTGCCATCAGCTGGGACCCCGGTCCCCCCCGGCCACAGCAGCAGGGTTAACAGGGCAGGGTGGGGGACCCCGGGGCCCCTGGCTGCAGGCGAGCTCCTGGCAGCCTTCTGACACAGGGCCCAGCCCTGCTCAGCTTCGGCAGGACTGAGAACAGCACAGAGCAGGCACAGTCAAAAGCAAGTCCACAGAACAGTGGAAGACAGCGATTCCTTTGATTCTGTCTTTATTATTAGATTATCACTATAACTGTAACAAATGGACAGAAGACTGCAGTGAGTAACAGAACAGTACTTTTACAGCCACCACTGAAATTTAACACATGTTATTTTACTTCAGATCTTTTTTTAGAGAAATAAAACACTGCAGACATAAGGGAAGTCCATCTGACCCCTTCCCCTTTTGAGAGATGACCACTGTCTTCAAGAGGTTGTATATCTTTCTGACTTCAGTTTTAAAACTTTATCATTATAATTACATTCATAATAATGTATAGTATTTTATGTATGTTTCATATACTGTGTCTATGTATATATTTCTACAACTTGCTTTTTTATTCAAATTAATTTAAAACTATCTCATCAACAACACTATTATCTGCTCACCTTTGGGTTCCCGAGAACAGCAATTCCTAAAGACAGTTTTCTTTTTTGGCCACCACTTAACTTTTTAGCCTGATTATCTTTGATAGCCTGCATGTCTAAATCCAGTAAGACTCTCTGCACCTAAGAAGAAAAGTGTGAATAAATGTTTTTTACATCTCATCATTTACATAATTATCAACACTAGTTTTTAAGTGTTCCAATTTAATATCAACCTTTAAAATGTTCTCCTGGTATAGAATTTAATTTTGACATACTGCTGTTGTTTAGTCACTAAGTCAAGTCTGACTCTGCAATCCCATGGACAGAGGAGCCTGGCAGGCCACAGTCCATGGGATTCTCCAGGCAAGAATACTGGAGTTGGTTGCCATTTCCTCCTCCAGGGGAGCTTCTCAACCTAGGGATGGAACCCATGTCTCCTGCATTGGCAGGCGGATTCTCTGCTGCTGAGCCACTAGGAGAAGCCCAATTTTGACGCATACCCACCAATAATTTTGAAATAAAAAAGATTGCTGATGGGAGGGCCTGTTTTACTTCGGTGACCCCTGGCTGGTGAAGGGGGTCAGTGCAAAGGTTCTGTGTGTATGTGTTTGTCGGGCAGGGGAAGCGGGTGGCAGTGAAAAGAAAAGAATCACCCACGTGGAGAGACTGGAGTCCCCCAAACGGGATGAGGACTTTTCTATGTGCAGCAACTTTTGCTCCAAGTTCCATCTGATTCTTTAAGATGACTTTCTGCTCACTGGCTCAGAAGAGGTTTCTATATTTACATTTTCAAGCATATTTTCATTACACAGATTACTGCAAAAGGTTACTAATTTACAGTGAATAAGAGTAAAGGTTTCTACACAGTTAACATACTTCCTGTATGACATCGTTGCCTGGTATTCCTTTGACAGACGCCAAAATGGACAAGTTTTCCTCTACCGTCAGGACGTCAAAGTGTATGTCTAGCTGTGGACAAATGCCAATCATTTTCCTGGCTTCAAACATTTCATCTATTTCTGAGACTCTGTGTCCATATATGGATGCAAACCCTAAAAAGCAAAATATACATTTACATTAAATATATTAAATATCAATAAGTATATTTACATTAAATATATTAAATATCAATATCACATACGTATTGATATTTAATATATTTAAATACTAACAAGTATAAATATCAATACATATGATAATTTAACAATTTAGTTGTTTGTATGTATTAATAACAGACATAAAATAAGAGTTAGTATACATCTGGAAAACACAACACACCCTAATTTCTATACAAATGGTGATCTGCTTCCACTTATATTCCAGCCTCATTTATATTCCCTATAAACGTCCTTCATTTTCAGGGCATATTACAGAGCAGAGAGAGCAAGGAATCAGAGGTTTAACATTAAGTATAATTATCCACTGATGCATGAATTACACTACTAATAATATTCCAGCAACAATTTTCCCTCATTTCTAAGCACTATGCAGTGGCAAAGAGAACAAAGAAGTTAAAACTTACCCTTGACCAGCTGCATGACTTTGGGAAAATCACTTGATCTAAATTCGAGCTTTCTTATCCTATAAGCTGAATATTAATATATACCACTTTACTTAAGAACTATTAAATCAATGTGATAGTGTGGAAAACTGTACCAAAAATAATAAATCCTCACATGAATGAAAGATATTATAATTACCATCAGAGAGTAACACAGAGATAAGTGACAAACTAATTTTAAAAGTTAAGCCAGTGCTGATACGTGGCAGAGGACAACACAACATTGTAAAGCAGTTATCCTCCAATTAAAAAAAAGTTAAACCACATCTAAGAAGATGCAGAATCAATATACAAAAACTTGGCCCCTCCTTAAAGTGAAATATTTGCTGCCCTGCAGCTCTATGTGGTTCTGGAAAACCGGAGCTGCTGGACTGAATTCTCACCTACAACTACATACAGCAACCACATATAGCAGTTACACGTTTGAGGTGTTGCTCTAAAAAGTCCAAGGAGAGTGAACTGACATCTGTCAGTCTTTCCTTCCGAACTTACTGGTGCTCACTTAGAAATCTTCATTTTCTCAACCAAAACGTCTATAGGCCTCATTTAATATCCCATTAATTGGTTTATCCTTCCTTGAAAATGAACAATAGATATAAACACGAATAAAATAGCTGATAAAACAGGTACAAAATTAGATCATTTTTACTTAAATATGACTGAATCATCTTTATTTTCTGCTAAAGAATAAACAAGTGTAATAAAATGGAGAAAAAATGAACACAGAAGTCGATACCAAATCACTGACAAAAATCAATCAGTACACGTTTCAAGGATAAGTAAATGACCACGGTACCTTAGTTACTAACCCTAATAAAATGAATTAACAGGTCCTTAAGTCAGGAAACTCACCATCCGAGGGTGGGCACAGCCCACACAGAATGTTCATCAGGGTGCTCTTTCCTGTGCCGCTGTGGCCAAGCAGGGCTGTGATCTGGCCCTCGTATATGTCAAAGGACAGACCTGGTGCGGGAAAAAAGGACGCTCAAATTGATCTTCATTTGCTGAGTCTTGCACAGTAAGATAAATCATAGTACTTGAGCAATCTTGAAATAAGTCAATACGTTTAAAGACAGAAGTCACCAGCATGTTTAATAATGCAAGATTTAATATTGACACACAACAATAATTCTTCCTTATAGTCACCAGTATGAGTAGTAAGAAAAGGTAACACAAAATAAACTTTTATTTTTTTGTCACACTGACAGAGTTAGAGGGGGCACAAAATATTGGGAGGGGGGTTTCCATGTACCCACTTTTGGGAACTCCCGAGGGTATTAAGAAATCCCATGGACAAAAGGAGCCTAGTGGGCTAGTCCATAGGGTCATAGAAGAGTCAGACACGACCAAGCAACTAGACAAAGGGAATTGAAACAAAGAGATGAACAAAAGTTTGTTTCCAAAGGTATTTAGAGGCATGTTAAAAACATTGGCAAAAAATTAGAACTTAACCAACAGCATTTTATTGTTGGACTCGCTAAGTCGAGTCCGACTCTGCGACCCCATGGACTGTGGCCCTCCAGGCTCCTCTGTCCATGGGATTCCCCAGGCAAGAAGACTGGAGTGGGTTGCCATGCCCTCCTCCAGGGGGTCTTCCCCACCCAGGGGTCAAACCGGAGTCTCTTATGCCTCCTGCATTGGCAGTCGGGTTCTTTACCACTAGCGCCACCTGGGAAGCCCTGTATACACATGCATTACAATAAAATTAAAAATGACACGGATTTGTTTTAAGAATTGACAACTTTTCATCTTAGCAGATATTACTTTTTTCTTTTACTACCTTGACGTTGTTAACTTTTATTCTTAACATTAATCACATAAAGAAAATATCTCTAGAGGAAAGATAAAAAATTGTGGTAAAGGAGTTTAAATTTCCCATTTGTACCCTAATCCTACAGACTGAACACTAGGAGTTACTCACTTCTCAAAGCCTCCACATTTTCACCTTTCTTTCTGTGGGTCTTCTGGATACCACTGATTCTGAAAAACACCATTTACTACTTTAAGTATTTAAAGCAATCTCCAAGTGTGTGTTTCTGTGCATGGTATTTTTAATCAAAGCTGTCATATTTAATGGGAATAAAGTGTCTTCCTACTAAAACAATAAACCAAAGAAACCTGGCAACAATAATAAAAGTATTTTAAAGAAACTACAAGAAAAGAGGATATTACTTCTCTCCATTTTAAGTGTAATTCATTCATTTTTCATAAGCCAACCTCTAAAAAGAAACTGAAACATTTGACTCAAGCAATTTACAGATTTCTTATTTCATATTTGATTCTTTTCCATTTGTAATTAATTAATACTTATCATATCAGTTAAGGGAGATTAAAAATCAGATGCTATTTCACATCGGTACATGCTTCAAACTGTCTTGAAGTGATTCTCTCATTGCACTTTAAATGTTTTACATTATTTTTTAAAGAATTAATGCTCTTGCTCATTAGTTTAACTTTTACTCTTAAGAAGGCCTACCACCAGTTCACTGATTGCATCTTAAATACCTAACTCGCCTCTGCATATGTATGTTTTTCTTGAATTTAAAAAACACAAACTATACTCCAGTTTTTCTTTCACTTTTTCTCTCTTTTCTCTTTCTCCTTATTTTTTTAAATTTGGTTTTGACTGAACTAGTAAGGAATAGTTATGAATTTCTCTGGTTCTCTGAAATTAAGCTGGTGTGTCAAGTTAATTATGTCACAGTTTCTAAGGGTCTATCAAATTAACAGCACAACTTAATGTCTGGCATGTCTCAGACAATGTAGCTCGAATAAAAACAGAAAACTAGTATCTGTTGCTTCAACTTACATGGTTTTAGTAGCTAAGTAGTGTCCAACTCTTGCGACCCCATGGACTGTAGCCTACCAGGCTCCTCTGTCCATGGCATTTTCCAGACAAGCATATTGGAGTGGGTTGCCATTTCCTTCTCCAGGGGATCTTTTCAACCCAGGAATTGAACCCAGGTCTCCTGCATTGCCGGCAGATTCTTTACCAACTGAGCTATGAGGGAATCCCTCTTAATTTACATAATGAAGAAATTTTAAAATGGCTTAATTTTATAAATACTAGATTTTATTACTTAAAAAATTTTCTATTCAAACGTAAAATGTCAAACTTAGCAGCAAATTTATTCTAAATGGTTACAAAGAAAATAAAAACTTAAAAGAGAATTAGCCCTTGGTACTGTTTTAAAAATCACAAAATGTGTACCAAATCTGCTAAGATACCATGCTTATATATATTACATAAAAGACAGGATTTACACGTGGCATGTCCCATGAGCAGTTCTTAAGACCTAAACTGCCAGAGATGAAATCATACCTGATGGCTTCTTTTCCTATAAATTCTGAAGAAACAGGCTCAACAATTTCACTAAAACTGATATTCCCATTCACGTTGCCCTCCGATAACTCCTTATAATTCCTTTTGCTCTTTGACCAATATGACGGCTTCAGAAAATAAAACGATGATCTCCGTAAGCCAAATTCTCCTGAAAAATAGAGAGAGAGAAAAAAAACAAAAACTGAGTTATCCTAACAAATTATTTCTGAAAACTAGTGTTTAAATCAGAAAGGCAGTCTGTGAAACCTAAGACAACCTAAAGTTTAGACATAAATTACTAAGTCAACAATGTGGGAAAAACAGAAATCTTAGTGACAGATTACTCCTGTCCATAAAGTTTCAGGGTTGCTGCGAGTCCACGGAATGTAAAAGGTAAGCAAAGCATATTTTCCACCTTAGAGACTTCCATCATTACAAGGACATGTACATACCTAATGGCTAACAGGCAGAGTACAATGCGGGGCATGAGTGCTAACAAGGGTTCAGAAGGTGAAGAGAGTACACTGGGGTATTCTGAAGCTTGAGTCAGCATCACCTTAGTCTTTTGGGAGCAGACAGTATTTGGAAAGGCTGCTACAGTTCACACAGAGGACATTTTAGCAGCAGGAGAGTAACAAGGCAGGACTGACAGGAGACTCCGGTCTGGCTGCCCACGGCACGGATGGACTTTCTCCAGTTCTCCCCAAGGAACCAACATTCCCCATCCCTTCTAACACGCCCCCCCCACCCCCATGACCATGTTTCAGAGGGATCTGCTCCCAACTAGAGAGAGTCCAGTGGACCTGATGGGCACCGTGCAGGCTCCGGTGACCCCTCTGCTCCAGCCATGAGCAGGTACCAACGAGAGAGAAGCGAAGGGCTTGCTGGGCACAGGACCCTGTCCCTCTCCCACTGGACGTGAACAAGAAGCACAGCCCCGTGCAGCCAGCAGGAGATAAATCCACCAGACTCAGACAGGAGCCGCCACATGGAGAGGAGGGACCCTGACGACACAGCCGAGCAAGGCAACCAACTGGGAGCCCGCCCTCACTCCGGACTCTGAGTGAAGGCACTGATTTCCTTCTTGTTTAAGACAATTAAAAAAGGTCCTCTGTTACACGAGTGAGTAAACATAATCTAACTGATACACTGAGATGCATTTAAATAAACAGGACTGAACGGATGGATATAAAATATAATAAGGAGAGGGGAAGAGTGGCAACAAGAGACTGAATGTATAAAAGCATCGTGCAGGACATCGGCACTCGCCAAGTTCCTGTTTAATTCACCAGGATGTGCTCAGCAAGGTTTCTGAGCAGGTGGTCAGCTTGACTAAAGGCAATGGCAAGGTTCTTAGACAGACTTGAGTAAGTAACTAGATGAGCGCTACTGCAGGGGTCTAGAACAGTGCAGCCACACAGAACTTTGCAACAGTGGACAAGACCTCATCTGCGCTGTAACTAGTGACCAGGCACGGCTACTGATCCGCTGGCAGGCGCTTGTGCTGCTTCCTGGCGGATCAGACACTACAGAATCTGCTGGCAGTGCAGGAGACCTGGGTTCAAGCCCTGGGTCGGGAAGACCCCTGGAGGAGGGCATGGCTGTCCACTCCAGCATTCTGGCCTGGAGAATCCCGTGGACAGAGGAGCCTGGCGGGCTACAGTCGATGGGGTCACCAAGGGTGGGACACGACTGAGTGACTGACACAACACTCGCCCTGCTGAGGAAGGAATTGCTCATTCGTTCCATTCTAAGTAATTAAAACTTAAAACCACATGTGTCTTGTCATGTAAGACCGCAGATCAAGAATACAGACAAAATGAACGAGGAAATCAGGGGGAAAGGAAAGGGGGCGGTGGTTATTTACTAATATTTTGAGCCTGTACAGGTTTGCGGTAGGTGCACGTTAAGAGACGCGGGGATGCGAGAGGTTACAAGGTTGCTCCACAGTCTCAGACCTTAGCAGGTACAACAGTGAAGCGCTTCAGCCAAAAAGACGGACATGGGGAAGGACTGAGTTAAGAAGTTCAATTAGGGATTTAAGGTTTTCAAAACAAACTGTTCTCTTTTTATCCAGTCTCCTTACATTCACTAGAAGTTAAGGTATAAGGTATATAATACAATTACAATTAAATTAAAAGTTGTTAACAGTGAATGCAACTTAGACTACTTGGCTAGAAAAAAAGCTAAAATTAAGTTAACCCACAGGGAGCTCAACCCAGTGCTCTGTGACAACCTAGAGGGGGGGATGGAGTAGGGGGAGGGAGGGAGGGAGGGAGGCTCAAAAGGGAGGGGACATATGTATCCATGTGGCTGATACACACTGATGTGTGGCAGAAACCAACATAACATTGTAAAGCAACCATCCCACAATTTAAAAAAATGAATATTTCAAAAAGAATATTAAAAAACTCAAAAACAATAAACCATTAACCTTGTAAGAAAAAATAATTAAGGTAACTTTATGTGGACAAAACCTGAAAAATCTTTCAAGTAAAATTCAGTAACTATCTGCATACCTGGAATGACTTGATCAAGATAAACAGCCAAGAGGATGTAGAAAATGCTGTTAAGTATCAGCATCATAAGAGTGATAATTAGAGGATACGGGCCTTCAGTCAAATTAGAAAATAAAGCACCTTCATCAACGTCTTCTAAGTGCATGACCTGAAAAACAGAAATGCCCACCCGATAATACAAAAGTGGTCAAAAACAAGCAAAAGCCAACAGTATGTCCAGAGTCAAGAAACTGGGCTGCTCAGGAGATTAAATGGTCTAGTCAAATGAGTAATATGAACTTATAAAGAAAATAGAAACTTGACCAAAATACGAGTTTATCACGACAACCCTGTTTTTAAAGCTGTGTGTCAGTTCTTGCAGCATGTCTTTTTAGTGCTATGGCTATCAAATGAAACAAAAACTGATGTTAGCAAAAGGGTTTACGGTCCAGAGAAGTCAAACAAGTTATCAGAGGATAAACATATGGTCAGCACCTTTCAACCCTGAAAAGGGAGAAGATGCTGTAACTAATTAACGCCGCTACTAAATTATGCAAAGCAGAGGTACTGACGGAGCAGGGCAAGGACAGCAGCACTGAGGTCTCGCCCTGTCTCAGGCCCGCCACGAAGGGAAGACTCTAACTGCACTGCGGAGGGCTCAGCATCCCCACCCACGAAACGAAGGTGGGTCAAGTGGCACGGAAAGTCCCTGCCACTCAACACAAACCCCTTTCAACCCTGAAAAGGGAGAAGATGCTGTAACTAATTAACGCCGCTACTAAATTATGCAAAGCAGAGGTACTGACGGAGCAGGGCAAGGACAGCAGCACTGAGGTCTCGCCCTGTCTCAGGCCCGCCACGAAGGGAAGACTCTAACTGCACTGCAGAGGGCTCAGCATCCCCACCCACGAAACGAAGGTGGGTCAAGTGGCACGGAAAGTCCCTGCCACTCAACACAAACCCCTGAATCTACAGTCCTATCTTCCTCAGTGAAGGGGGACGCAGTGGACACTCAGAACATGCAACACCAGCTTTTGGGTCTCAAATAATTCACATCCATTAGACTTGATATTCACAAACAATTCGAGTCCTGCAAATCAGAAGTCTATCCAGCCAGTGTGAATGATCTCTTATATGAAGTAATCACATTTTCTTCTTCTTTACACATTAACCAAATTTATGTTCTAGTATATAAAGCAGTTTCTTGTAAGAATTTTCCTCTTAGAACCTCACTGCTCTGTAAAAACTAAGAAAAACCACATTATAAACATCGATGAAAGTGAAAAAGAAAGTCGCTCAGTCGTGTCTGACTCTTTGCAACCCCATGGACTGTAGCCCACCAGGCTCTTCTGTCCGTGGGACTTCCCAGGCAAGAACACTGGATGGAAGGGGTTGTCATTTCCGCCTCCAGGGGACCTTCCCGACCCAGCGGTCAAACCTGTGTCTTCTGTGTTGGCAGGTGAATTCTGGACAACCGAGCCACCTGGTGCTTTAAGCAGTCACTTCTAACAAGCTGAGCTGCTCCAATAAAACAGACTACTGAATTTCACTAAAGCAAAAAGCGGAGAGCTTGCTGATTAAAAAGGTCATACAATGAAAAGTCTAAAAATGGAGAAAATATAAATGAATCAATATAAAAAGTACTTCGGTTTTCAAATAGCATCCTTTCTCATGCTTACTGTAAAATAACTTTTGCAAACCAAAGGCAAGATTCATGGTAGTAAATGCACTGCATGGAAGTGGAGAGAAAGAAAGCATCTGGGGAAAGTGAGATAAACACTCACATACCTGTGCTATGCCAATCAGGAAGGTGCACTGACAGAAGGGACCGAGGAGCCACACTAACGATCGGGGGAAACTTTCCATGAGGACTATCAAGAGGCCAACAAATCCAAAAGCCACTGTGACCAAGAATTCAACTATTCCCACATGCTTTGATTTTTTAAAAAGAGGAGTCAGCATTAAAGCAAAAAATACCTGTAAGATACAAATGTTAATGTTAATGCATTGTTCATATACACTGATGTGAAAAGAAGATTAAATTTTTGCTTGTGAAAGAACAAGCTATTTTCATTAGAAACTACATTCCCTAAAATTCAATTAATTTCTAATTAATTCCTTGGTAGCTCAGTGGTAAAGAATCCGTCTGCCAATGCAGGAGACACAGGTTCGATCTCTGGGTTGGGAAGATCCCCTGGAGGAGAAAGTGGCCACCCACTCCAATGTCCCTGCTTGGGAAATACCAAGGACAAAGGAGCCTGGTGAGCTATAGTCCCTGGGGTCCCACAGAGTTGGACACACATGTCTTAGCAACTAAAAAAGAACAAATTTCTAAAGGTCATGCTGAGATATTTAATTTTCATACAAACAATTCTATACATTAACAATATAAACTGACAAAGATTTAAAACTGCTCTTTATCTGTGTAATAGGCAAAAATGATCATCTCAACCCCACAGAAACCAAAAACTACCAGGTGTTTCTGTGGTTAGATACGTTCGAATATGAACAAAACAATAACTCAACAAGCTTTTAAATAGAGAACCCATCTTTTAATGTGTTGATAAGAAACAGTCAGTTAAAAACCATGCAACTATATAGAGAAGCATACACGTTATTTGAGGCAGGCTTCCTTGGTGGCTTAGCTGGTAAAGAATCCACCTACAATGCGGGAGACCTGGGTTGGGAAGATCCCCTGGAGAAGAGAAAGGCTACCCACTCCAGCATTCTGGCCTGGAGAATTCCATGGACTGTATAGTCCACGGGGTCGCAAAGAGTCAGACACAACTGAGCAACATTCATTTTAACATACAAGTTATTTACAAATTATCATGTTAAAGAGCAGAGATGATAGTCAAATATTTCACAACTGATAGAGCATGGGCATGTGAGCCGATCAGAATGGGAACTAGGACCACAGGAAACAGGCTGGGGGCTTCTCCTGGTGGTCCAGTGGCCAAGACTCCGTGTTTCCAATGCAGGGGGCCCAGGTGTGATCCCTGGTCAGGAAACTAGACCCCATAGGCTGCAACTAAGATCCAGCACAGCCAAATACATATTTAAAGAAAACAAACAAAGGCTGGTCGTGAACAGCCAGCATTCAACCAAATACCCAACCTGTATCAACACCGGCAAAGAATTAAATTTACAAAGACACATATTTACGCAGCATCATCCTGTAACAAATATTACCTGGAAATGTTTAGGATTTCACGAAACAAAAAAAAATAGAGTCTAGTACAAGACCATCTTAATGGTATATAAGCACAGTTATATGAAGATCATAAAAGACAGACTCAGAGGAAATATGTGTGGAATACATCATGTGAAAACTAGTTAAATTTAAACTTGAGAATATTTTGTAACTTTCCTAAAAATGAAGAGGTACAATGATACAACTCATTCATCAGAATTAACCGAGGAACAATCCTGTCTTGCATGGGAAGTCCACTGCAAGTAAACCAAAAAATAAGACTTTACTAATCAAGTATTTTGACAGTTCTTTATTCCCATTTCAAGTAAAAGTACTTACAGATGATAAGCCATAGAGGAAAAAAAGGAGAAATATCACAAAGCAGCTACTCTGGGGGAATAAGGAAGACGCTGTTGCAATGACTGCCATGAGAAGGGACATGAGAAAAATCAAACTTGCGTAGAGAAGAACCCAGGAAAGCCTAAAAGGGGAACACAGACACAGTTATGGCTAAATACACAGGCCTTAACAATTAAAAAAAATCATTTTAAACAAAACTTCAGCTTTATTTTAGCTGTTTCATTCTTAAAATTAAGCCAATCGCTTCATTTCTATGTATGCTCATGTACTGAAAATTAAAGCTCTTGTATGTAATGAAAAATATAGTACTGGTTAAGCCGTAGATAAAATTATCAAGTTATCATCTCATATAGAGATAAAATGGTGATTATTTTTCCAGGAGTCAAAAAAAACTTACAGATTTATAGCAAATCACGATTCATTTAAATCTAGTACTTTCAGAAGTTCAACAAATGCACAATTCTGATTTTCTTAAAATACAAGAGTTTAATGACTGATGATTTTCTTTACGGTACACACGACAATTAAACTCTGATGGCTTTTGGTACTGTAGATAGTTATAAAGGCCATCTTGCTAGGCAACAATGTTATTACTATGGAACTCAACGTGAGACCAAGATCAACAACAGATTCATCACAGGACTCAACATTTCTCCTCAAATTGGAGCTCAGGGGAATTGCCCCACAGTCTATTATTTTGCTTTTATTTTTCCAGTTAGCAGGTAACTTAATGTACGGCATCATAAAAACCACCAAAAGAGGACTAAAAGATACCTAAACTACCAAAAGTAAATCCATCATTTTACAGAGGCAGAAATGAGGCACTGAGAAACTGATCTGCCTAAACCTTCCAGCTACTGTCTCCTCACAAAACATTTAATATTCCAGTGTGGCTCACAGACCAACCACTATTAAAACCCCTGGAGTAAGAAATGAGCAAAGATGAAGTCACAGGGAATAACCCCATTATGTAAAGTGGTTTAGTTGCTGCATTGAGCTAAATGGAATAAAATGGTTGATAGTAACAACTCACATTTGACAGTACTAACGTCTCCCCCAAAGTGAGGTCAAAATAAATGTTCTTACTGCAGAGGGGGGCAAGTACAGAAAACATACTTGGAATTGTTTATAAAACTGTGTGTCTCTATAAAGTTATCATTGTACAAAAATGTTAACGTGCTCACTGCTGAACTTCTTTCATTTGCTTCTCTGGAAATAATTATTTGCATATTTTCATCCTAAAAAATTCACAAAAGTAACTTTTCCCAGGGGGAAGAAAGCCCATATACAAGAACATAACACCATGAACATGCTACGGTATTTGAGGAGGACTGTAACAGCAGATTAATTTCTAACTTTCTACAATCTCCTGTTTTTCTATACACGGAGATATACTGAAATACATGGAGCATGCCTCATCAAACAAAATACAAAATAAAACTTAAATACATAATATTGACACGAGCTTCCCAAATCCCACCTCCCTTATGTTCGAACAAGCCAATCAACTGCTGGAGCTTTGTGATGAGTCTCAAACTCCATGACAAAGGTGGGAACTGCAAAAAAAGAGGTTCAGGACCTCGTGGAGTCTGGTGAGCAACAAAACTGCAGAACTGAAGATCTGTAGAACTTACACAATTATTAGCCACACTAAATAACAAAGTTTTAGTAACATACCAAAAGGCCGTGTCATGAAGTCCCATTATCTTTAAAAACTCTTTTAACTTCTTCTCTTTTTCTGCTACGATGTGAATTGCCAAAAAGTATCCAAAAGGTGAAAACGCTATAACTAGGTATATTAAAATTACTCCTCGGGGAAAGGTGTCTATTTCTACAATAGCCATTTCTCCCATAAGAACAGCTTTAGTTGACTCCAGCTCTTTCCAAAAAGAAACATTGGTCTTCATCTACAATCAGAAAATGTAAACACATTCAGTTAACTTAGCTCTGAGAGCAGCCCCTGAAATACTAAGAAAATCACATCCCCAAAGTTAGTCCACAGCCCACTGCAAACAGAACCCTCAAAACACTACACACCAGAAATAAAGTGGCCGACCCCAGTATCATGGTACTGCACAGAACACTGCTTTCACTCCTTCTGGAAGCATGTCAGAAAGTTTCAAGTTTGAAACTGGGAAGTACACACATTTTTATTAAATAATTTGTCAAAGAAAATAAAACTGTACAATAACCATCTTTAGTGACAGCTATATGCATCTTAATAAAAATATGTGTTTATAAAATTGAGGAGTTAAAGGATGATGACAAGTGCCATGAAAAAATAACTCTCTTTTTTAAAAATGTTCTTTTAGGTAGTAGGTTCTTCTACTGTTTAAAAAAAATCTACACATGCAGTGTGTTTAGAGACAGGATCATAGAATTATGTATGCACATGACACATTCCACCTAACGCTCCCATGAACGGCTACCAGGAGCTCTGCTCCGCCTGGTCGTGTGGTGAGGTCTGGGTTGTGGACAGCTAAGGTCTTTGGCCAAAACACAAATAGGTACTTCAGCACCATCAATGCAATATGCCCTATATTTGTTTCACCGGCATTAGCCTGAGCTTGTGTGTGACTGAATACTGTATCTGCGATACGTTTATGTCATGCTGTGAGAGCTCGTAGGATGCTTCGGCGTGTCATCTCCTGTGGTTCTAACAACGACCCTGTCAAGCGAGCATCACTTCTGCAGTCACTGTATGCATAGCACTCTAACAACTGACAGTGACAGGGCTCCCACCCAAGGTCTGCTGTTCATTTCTACTGAAAGGAGAAACACTGGGTCAGGTCTTTAGAATGCAAATACAACATTTATACACAATGTTAGTGGCAGTATATTACTAAAACACAGAAATGAGAGCCCAAAAGCCACAGTCTGAATTAGCTTTGCCACTAATCAACTGAGGTTTGGAAAGTCACTTCATCTTCCTGTGTTTCAAGTGCATAAATAAAATGCAGACAACAACAGCAGCAAGCTGTTAAGATTAAACGGGCTGATACTAGTACACAACGGAGAAACAATGTTTTGCAGACAAGTGATAAATATCTGTTAAAAGATAAAATCTATCACTATGATTAAGATAATAAAGGCAACGTCTTTAAACTAAGTTATTCTTATTCAGGGGGAAAAGTCTGCAAACACAGACCTTCCATAAAGACTGCCTGCCGACAGCACAGACAGGGTCTCACAGGGGCCCAGGGCGCTGAACAGCATGCCTGAGGCCACGGAGCAAAAGCGGCTTTCAAAGAATTAAATCAGAAAGTATGACTTCTTCCGTCTCTTCTTTTGTAAAGGAGCTGACCTGAGTGATGTAATTCGGTACATGGCACAGCAGTGAAATGAACTCTGATGGTAAAGACTTGGGGCCCGGTATGAACCTTTGCCCTCCTTCAGCACCGTTACCTCTATGATGGCTGCGTCTATCGAGGCCTGCAGAACCGTGAACCCTGAGGTCCAGAACTGGACAGCGTCACATGATGGGGAACAGCCAGCTACGGAGGAAACAACGTCAGAGGTAAGGTTCAGCACGATACATGAGTGCTTTCCTTAGACACAGCACCCAGAGGGTTACCAGAGTGATACAACTGATCCATCTCTAACAGAAGCAAAGAAAAGAAGCAATTGCCCTCCAAAGGCAAAGTCTATCACATCCCTTACTGTTTATTTGAAATTTTTGAAATCAGAGAGTTACATGTGTTAGGATACTGAGTAGGAAATGCACACAAATGGAAGCAAAGAAATTAATGGCTGCTGTTTAGTCGCTAAGTCGTGTCTGACTCTCTGTGACCCCATGGACTGCAGCATGCCAGGCTTCTCTGTCCTCCACTATGTCCTGGAGCCTGCTCAAACTCGTGTCCATTGAGTCGGGGATGCCATCCAACCATCTCATGCTCTGCTGCCCCCTTCGCCTTTTGCCTTCAATCTTTCCCAGCATCAGGGTCTCTTCCAGTGAGGTTTTTTAAAATAAGTCACTTTTCTGGCTTAAGGTAAGTCATTCTACAATGAATTATCAGCTTTAGAAGCTTTCCAGATGCAAAGGCAGGTCCACAGAAAAAAGAAAAATTATCTGAAGGCTTTTTGGAATCAAGTCACAAATATAATACTTAATACAGTGACTGTAACATTGTTTCAATAAATGCTTTTGGTTGATAATTATTTGTTCAGAGGCTTAGGCATTGAAGGCTGTTTTCCATGTTTCAAACATAGAATTAATAAAGTTTACTGGTGGAAGAACTTGAGATTTTAAAATATGTACCATACCATGTACCAAAAAAATTATGTGGAGAAAAGAACATAGACTTAGAAAGTCATATAACTCAAGATAAAATTGTTTAATATAAATTACACATGCCTGACTACTAAGTCACTTCAGTAGTATCAGGCTCTTTGCAACCTCATAGACTGTAGCCTGCCAGGCTCCTCTGTCCATGGTATAATTCAGACAAGAATACTAGAGTGGGTTGCCATGCCCTTCTCCAGAGGCTCTTCCCAATTCGGGGATCGAACTGCAGGTGGACTCTTAACCACTGAGCCAGTGGGGAAGCACAGTGTAAATTACACATCATATTATACATGAGCTGTGGACAGGCAGACACACATGTTCTTAGGCTAGAGTTGGCAGTCTTCTGATCTGAATAATTATAGTCGAAAATGTCAATGTAGGACACCATCAGATTTTGCATTTGAACTAAGAGTAATAAAAACATGCATTTAATTGATTTTCATTGACTATTTAGGGCTACTTGCCTCTTGAATCCATATAAACAGAAGATACTGGAATTGTATCAGGAAAAAACCGGAGCTCGTAGGACATGAAGTCTTTGAACACAACGCCTACGAAGGTGCTGGACTTGGAAAGACTGGATGTTACCAATTCTTTTTCATCTGCATATTCTTCAATAGTTACAACTATAAAATATTACAACAAAATTAGCTCAAATACATGAATAGTTTATTATAATACAACAGACCAAATTTACCATTATACTTGATGTAGTATTTTATAAGCATTTGTTGAATGCTCTAACTTCTTTGAAAATGAATACAGCTCTTCTAAAAACCAAGCTAAAAAGTAACAGATATTAAAGCAGTGCAATTTTACAGACACTATTTCTTAGCTCTCACTTGACTATACATAAGTTATGTGTCAGTGTAACACATAAGCTATTAACATGACAAATTAGAGCATATACTTTACATGTAATATATGTAGTTCATTTACCTATCTCAAAGTGAAACCATGAAATAACTCCCTGATAAATAAATGGATATTTTATTTTCAAATATTCCTTCTTAGGAAGAAAACGCCACAATCCTTCTCAGAAAATAAGTATGTATTTTAGTAACTATGACACAACTCTTCTTTGAATAAAAATTGACATTTAAACCCAATATTGCTTCTTTTATCCTATACAAATATGCTTGTTTTATAAATGACCCACAAATTAAATATAAAATATTAAAACATAAAGTATGCTATAAATGAAAGTTTCACAAGAAACGTAAGGCCAGCAGAATCAAATGACATTAACATTCTTATAAAACTCTGTTACGGTGAAAGGATATATACCTTTATATAAATGTTAAGAATGGTATTTACTCAATAAAGCAAACAGCACAACACAGAAGACGCTGCTGTAACAGACAGGACCCACGCCAGCTCACAGTACCGTCATGAAGGTGATCCACAGACGCCTTCTGCATGATGCTCCTCGTGATGTTAGTCACGGGCGTGAATCCAAGAACCACGTTGGTGAGGATGGACGCGTCCAGGGCACTGAGTTCTACATCAGGCACTTCTTCATATTTCTTATTTGGATGCATCATGCTAATTAATATTAACCAAAACAAAAAAAACAGTGGAAAAAGAATTTCCTGCAACAAAGGGAAAACAAACTGATTACAAAGCATAACAAAGGCAGCAAAAATCATCAAGCTTTCTATGAATATAACTAATACTAAGAAAAAACATGAAGAACTTGGGTCTCCTTTCTTAAGCACACAAAGTAAAAGCAATTCTATCCTAAAAGAAATACTGTGCTGAACCAAACCCAACAGCAATAATTTTTCCTTTACATTCAATCTCACTAAAATATTTTAAAATTCAAGTCACCATAATATATTTAAATGACATAAAAGCTAGTATTTAAACATCTGAGATTACTAATATAAAATATAATAATAAACTTATTCATATATAATTTTAAAGTAACTTACTAATTATCTGTAACACAAAGACACCATAAAAATCTCTTTGAGTGTGAATTAAAACTTATGTTTAATTATACCTAAATTTCTACTTCTAAAACTCTACTGTTACATTCAATAGTTGACTTTAATGGGGATGAACTATTTACTGTTTCATCTTGCTGTTTAATTGGTCTGCTGGTTTCAAAAGAATAATACCATTCCATCCTTTAAAATCATTATTGACTGGCCGGCCAGAGCTCTTACTTCCTTTTATCTCTTAGACTAATGTATGCTCAACAAATAAATACATAATAAAGTGATATATGCTTGCAGGGACAGATATGTGACATAATTGTAGCAATCCTGGCCAGCTCAACCCAGAGTCAGAAGATGGGAGGCCATGGAGAGGAAATATGGAACGATGTTCCAGAAAGTTATTTGCAGAATTTATTTTTCACCTTATGAAACAGGAAATACATGCCTTGAGGTTCAAAAATCAAGCACTGATATGAAAAATTAACTAAATTTGGAAACTTATCAACATTTTTGACATTTAGAAAACATTGGATAATTTAAGTATTTTTTTCTGAGGCTAACACAATAAGTTTTCACTTCACAAGCAAAATTGTAATAAAAATGCATCCAGCAGAACAAATCATCTCTTAGAAATGGAACATATTAACGCAAAATATACTGCAGTAACACAGGACGGTCGTGCAGCTTACCTGAACACTGCTCTTCTTGGTCCTGCATTTCACCAGGTAATTCTTGAGGAGCAGCGTTCTCGTCTGCCTCCAGACCCCGTCTTCCCGAACTGTAGTCGCCATGTTTTCTAGGTTAGTTTACTAGAGAAGGGAGAGTAGAGGAAAAATCACCTGGAGCCACATAGTCAAGTCTAGGCCATTTTTAATGCTAAAAACAGACAGACAGACAGATGTCTGAGTCGCAGATCAGATAGTTAAGCTTACTCCACGCTGTCTCTCCTACCTGGACAGGATGCACTGAATGGAAATGAGAAGATTCTGAAAGGTAAACTGCAGCACATGAAACCAGCGAGGGGCCGCCCGGGAATCTGAAAGCAGCAGGGAGGGCAAACGGACAGAAGAGCTCAGGGAAGCAGAGCGGTGCGGTTGTTCATTAACCCTGGACTGAGCCCCAGTCTGGACACACAGTCCTCATCAGCTGAGCTGACACGCAGACCACTGCCCAGACGCAGACGGGTGGCTGGGTGGCACACGCGGGCAGATCCCCGCTGCACTGCAGAGGCTTCTGAAAACTAAACTGAAATTAGACCCGCAGCTCACAGAATGTGGGTAGAAACTTAAGACCCGAACCTAATCAGGTGGACAGCATGTTCACAGAAGACACCAGTGCTGTCTGCAGGATGAAAACAAAACTCGAGGCCTCACACCGCCCAGCATCATTCCACTCACAAGGCATGTGGAAAACACCAACTCCGTTAGGGCAAGAAAACCCACAGATGCCAGCAGCAAGGTGACGCAGATTTTGAAATTATCTGACAAAAACTCTACAGCAGCTGTTTAAAAGGTGCTCCAGCAAACAGTGGTAAGAAGACAATGAAAGAAAACACTCATTTCACTCTCGGAAACAACCCAAGTGTCAGCAAAGAAACAACACTTTTAAAGCAGCACCAAATAGTAATTTCAGAACAGGAAAACATAGTAACAAAGAAAACTCACAGAATGGGCTCAACAGCAGAACAGAGACAAGAGGAAAACAGTCAGTAAACTTGATATAACAAGAGAAGCTATTCAATCTCAAAAAAAGAATAAGTTGTGTTTTGTTTTTTGTTTTTTAAAACAATTAACAGTATTGTTTCTCAGAGAACTGAGACAGTAACAGTCTAACATTCAAATGACCAGAGAGAGAGAAGTGTGTTAATGCTGGACAAATATTTAAAGAATTAATGGCTAAAAATTTCCCCGATTTGGCCAGAGATGAAAAGCCTAAGAGTTTCAAGAAGCTTGATGAAGCCCATACAGGATAAACCAAAGGAAATCCACAATGAGACACAGCATAACCCAACTGCTGCAAGTGACAGACAGAGAAATCCTGAAAGCAGTTAAGAGATTAACCATGTGCTTTCCTACAGGGCAGTAATGCTCCGAATGAGAGCAAATTTCTCATAAGAAAATCCGGGGCTAACGGGGGGCGGGGGCAGAGGGGTCCTCATATAGAGCTGGCGGGGCTGCAGAGAGGTTTAGCTGCTGAGACAAACACTGCGGCTGGTCCCTGAGGTGAAACCAGAATTCCTGTCTGACTCCACCACTCCACTTGTAGGTATTCACCCAAAAGAACTGGAAACAGGGGCACAGACAAATGCGTGTGCACGCAGGATCAGAACTGCCAAGACATGGAAACAGCCTGAATGTCTATCAACATAGACACAGAGGGAGGGACAAACGGAGGTGGTGGACACACACGGGGACTCACTGTTGAGCCACAAAGAGGAGTGCAGCAAGGGTGAGTCTCCAGAACACCACGCGAAGCATGTAAGGTCAAACCTGAGTCCACCCACAAGACATCTCCAGAACACACAAATCCATAGAAATGGGATGTGGACGGCTGCCTGCTAGAGCAGAATGGGTGAAAGTGCTTAATGAGTCAGGGGTTTTACTCTGGAGTGACAGAAACAAACCTCACCTTTTTATTTTTTTTTTTTTGAGCTGTATGACCTAAACCACCGAATCACAGGCCCAGTATCCCTCTCCCAGGGTAAGCTGACCCTCTGGGGGCCCTTCTGGGAGTGGACCTCTGTTGGAACTATCTCCGCTCTTCAAAGAGGCTATGGGAAAGCAGCAGTCAGAGTGGCCGGGGTCCCACCAGCACCCTCCAGGGGCCCTGTTTCCATCTGCTTGCCCCAGTAACCCAGAATGCCTGCCGACCAGAAGGCACTGAACAGGCAGTGCGGGGGAGACACCAGAATGGCGCTGCTAGGCCTTCGTCCGGGGCAGAGCTCACTGCCGTGTTTTATAAAGGCGTGTGACGGGAGGCCCTGGGTGACTGCCGTCCACAACGAGCGCCGTCTATCCCAGGCTGCCTGGCCATCTCCCCCTAGGGGGAAAAGGGGGCAGCATTTAGAGGCAGCTTGTCTTAACTCCCAAAAGTCAATACACATGACTAAAGTTGGGACCAAATAAACTTCCTCTTTACAGGTACAGAAGAAAAACAAAAGGGTTATTTTTTCAATTTAACGACTGGATTACAGACAACTTTTGTGTTTTTTTCTATTTTCCCATCAATATGTGTTCTTTAGACAGTGGGGGAAAAAACAAATTACACAATTAGACATACTATAAAAATATGAAATGAGTAAATTTAAAAAAAAACTTAAAGCAGTCAGGAAAGGATACACTAAAAACAAATTCTTCTAACAGTCTCATGGATGTCACATCAGATTCTATAAAGAACTGGTAATCTCCTCGAGGCTGATGAAAGAAAGGAAGACAGGAAGGAGGGGCTGGGAGGGGGACAGGCAGGCGGATCACACCTGTCCAAGGATGACTTCCTACAAAACAAACATAGAAACACTAACCAGCGGAGCAGCAAAAACAGCCTCAAGTTCTCTGCAGAGCACATTGATTTAGTGTAGTGGGTGCCACTCAATTATTCATTTGAATTGAACGCTGCACCCTTAGCTCTTCGTTTTTAGAGAACGGGCCCCTCGTAAGGCAGCTGATGGTCTCCCAGGATCTTTCCTCCTGTGAGAAGTGCTCCCTGAACTCAATTAGAGTTGATGGCCTTGCCTGAAGTCCAGGAACCTCTGTACCTGCCCACCCCAGTCAGGGCTTCTTAAACCATCACCATCACCCCTACTGCCACTGAACTGTACCAATTAAATCTTCTGGCAGCATGGAAGTTTTACCTAAGAGACCCAGGGCTTGGGGTCATGGAAACAGAGTAATAGGAACATCTAAGAGAGTTCATAGATTCTTGGTACTAAGTTTTACCCTAAGGTTTGGTACCTACTGTGCCCAAAACTTGATTCTTCTTCCTTGGAGTACGTGAAATGCCCTGATACCCAAAGTACTCATTTTCCCTGAAGGCAGCCAGACCAGACAGTTCCCGTCTCTGGTATCAGTGGACTCAACCAGTGTAACAGGATAATGTGCTCCTAACTCCGTGGTTAGGACGCTCCCAAGGGTAACCGAGATTGTCCAAGTGAAGCACTGGCGGGAACCCAGTGAGATGCTCCACACCTGCCTGCCTCCTCACCCACAAAGGGCAGGGTCCCATGGGTACTGACGGGCGTGAGAGCGCAGGGCAGCAGAAAGCTGAGGACTGCTGATGCAAAGGTTTTCAAGTGGCTTAGAAAGTAAGGTTAACAGGGAAGCATCTCTGCAGAATATGACACAGGATGACTAAGCAGAGAAGTCACACTGGTGTCTGTCCAGCCTATTTCCTCCTTTCTTCCAGAGCACGAAGTCCCAGGACTTCCCTGGCGGTTGGGTGGCTAAGACTGTGTGCTCCCAATGCCGGACGCCCGGGTTCCCTCCCTGGTTGGGGAACAAGATCCTGCATGCCATAACTAAGACCTGATGCAGCCAAACACACACACACACATGTACACAGACCCAGACACACACAAACACACACACAGAGTCCCTTCTTCAGCAGAAGGTGCTTTCATCCTGTTTTCCTTGTGCCCTGAGCTCCATTCCAAGTGGACTTTCCTTCCTCATCATTCTTCCTCAGCCAGAATGCCCTTCCCTGCTTTGGGCTCAGGTCTCTCAGGGAGCGAGACTTCCCAGGTGGCTCAGTGGTAAAGAATCCGCCTCCAATGCAGGAGCCCTGGGTTCGATCCCTGGGTCAGGAAGATCCCCTGGAGAAGGGAAAGGCTACCCACTTCAGTATTCTTGTCCGGGAAATCCCACGGACAGAGGAGCCTGGTGGGCTACAGTCCACAGGGTCACAAAGAGTCAGATATGACTTAGTGACTGAACAACAACAAGAAAAAACCCATGGTTCTCATATTCTAAAACTCTAATCGAGTGAAAAATGTTAAATGTCAATAACTTTGACCTATCTACTCAAGTTATTAAAATGAAACATCAAAAACAAACTAAAATAAAATGAAACTTTTTTTTTTTTGGTGGTTTATAAACCAGCTGACATTACTTTCTTTGTAGCAGCCTGAAAAAAGACCCACTACTCTGAGAATGAAAACAAAACCTCTTAAAGAAGGAAAATCAACTGACTGCTTGTTCTCTTTGAGATATGAAATGCCTGGCTGGGCTGTTCGAAAACCCAAAAGAAATATTCTTAATGGCGATTAACTTTTCATGTGCATCTAACCGGGAACTTCAAAGCTGGCGTCGGGTTTTTGTGAGCTGACACCACTCTGATCTTACCTGCCCGCCCCTGTGCACACACGCAAGGCCATGCCGGTCTAATCAGGTGCACCGTGAAAAGGGTCGGGGTGGGGGGGGCGGTCAACCCGGGCGGGCAGCTCTGCATCAGGATGCGAAGCACCAAGGACCGTGACAGCCACAGTCACAGCTGCGGGGAGACGCCGGGCCGCTGCTTCAAGTCTGAGGACCACTCCATCTCTGGGGGTTTCCTTGTGTCAAGAGGACAGAAGGAAAAACAACAGAAGAGGGCAGCCTACACCACACTGGCAGGATGATCACAAGTCCCCAGGGTGCCCCCTTGTCTCCACTGTTTAGCAGGGCTGGGAAAGAGGGGTCGTGGTTGGGGTGGGGTGTGGGAAGGCAGGGCTGTCTACACTGAAGATCTAGGCCAAAGATAAAGAGACCTGTCTGAGCTGAAACCAAGCCCTACAGGTGGGCGGGGCAGGGAGGTTTCCTGAAAGCTGGGGATCCTCCCCGCAGAGAGGACATGAAAGTGGTTCTTCTGACAGGAGGGCACAGCTGGAAAGGGGGTTGCAAAGCTAAAACGAGGCGTGGCCTGCGAGGGGACGTCTGTAAAAGCTTCAAAACTTGTGCTGCGCCTGTTCTTGGTCCCAAAGAAAACCTGTGTTTAGCATCAAGTTCTAATCCTCCTCTTTCTACACTATGATGCACTTTGATTATTCAAAACATTATAGCCTACGTGTGTGAATGTGTGTGTGTGTGTACTCAGCCATGTCTGACTCATTTGCAACCCTGTGAACTGTAGTCCGCCAGGCTCCTCTGTCCATGGGATTCTCCAGGCAAGAGTACTGGAGTGGGCTGCCATTCCCTTCTCCAGGAACCCGAGTCTCCTGCACTGGCAGGTGGATTCTTTACCACTGAGCCACCTTGGAAGCCCACAGTCTATGCGGTGGCCTTCAAAAGGACAAAAGAGACAGGGTGTGACAGATGCCTGGCCTGTTCCCCATTTATCACTGGCTGTAAGTGGAAGAAAATCAGACAGCCAACATGCAGAAGGCCCCCCACTAGGAACACAGTTCCCACAAGCCCCAGGCATCCTAAAGTGAGAACCAGACAACCACAGAACAGGGCTTTTTGAGTAGACAACGCACCTAAGAACTTCTCTTTTGCAACATATGTTACAAGATGATCCTTAGAAGCATAAGTTGACAATTAAAGGACAGTAAGGCTTCTAGTGGCATGTTTTTAACAAATTGTACTTTTTTGGAAAACTCATACTTGATCCAGTTCCCAAGTCTTTCCAATACAGTACCTTGAAAACTCTTTAACAAAGGCAAATTCTCAACTAAAAAAGAACTGGCTAAAGGACTACGACAAAAACAAGAAAATAAGGGCACAGAATTATTTTTAAAAACCTCTGGTTACTTTCCATTGCTCCACAGTATGTCAGGGGAATGTACTGATTTGTTACAGAGCATGAAGTGATCGTTCATGTTTCAAACACCTAGTACCCCTGAAGGTATAATCAAACATTCAACTTCCTGTTGAAGGCTGGAGGGGATGAAAAGTGCTTGCAGAACTGAGAAAGCTGTCTTGAGGCCAAGAAACGAGGCAGGAAGCTCTGGGTTGTAGTGGATCCGTTTGTTTCAGGGTAACTTCCTCATAGGGTGGCTCTGGGATCAGGAGTGGGGGGCGACAACCTGGAAGCATTTGCAATCTGCACTCCTGGGGCTACAGGGACAATATTATAGTTACCCTAGAGTATGGTGGTAGGTGGGACTTCCTTGGCAGTCCAGTTGGTAAAGAATCTGCCTGAGATGCAGGAGACTCAGGTTTGGTCCCTGGATGGGGAAGATCTCCTGGGGAAGAGAACAGAGGTAGGTGCTCAGATAATGGAACAAGCATTTCTAAGTCAAGAGTCACGAATGAGTAACGAGGCTCATGGACTAACGGACCACACAGGGCACCTGATCCTCATGATTATTAAACACTTTCTAGTAACTGCAAAGACCTTAACAGCAGAGAAGTGACCCTCTGCACAGTTCAGTCCTGGGTCGGGGACGGGATAGCACGGGATCGACTATAGTGGCACAAGATGGCATCAGTGATGCTAACAGCCATATATTTCTCCCAGAGAGAAATGACTCAGAGTAAATCTAATAAGTAGCAAGGAAACTGAAAGCCAACTAAA